CTGCGTAATATTGGTTTGGGATTAAACATTTATAATAACTTGTTATTTGTTATAACCAAACTGTATTGTAAGTAGCTGAATCGACAATTGCGAACGGAGAAAACTGCACAATGGTTCCCTGCTTTTATCAATGTACTGATAAACTTGTGTTTTTTTAGAACTCCTTACACAAATATGATTTACGACGTTTCCTAGGAAGGCACAATGTACCGGTGGCTCAACTCTTGCCCATTGTCATTCAAAACTTGCAGTATATTTTGAGCTCTATGCCATTGTAATAAGTGGGATGAGAGCGGTCAAAAAATAATTTTAGATCTGTCCGTCATCTGTGGACAATGCCCACTATTAGCGGATTATAACCCGCAAAAAGAGCAGGTATGGTTCATAATTTGCACTCGCAAAGTATAAGCGGTGGAGGTTTTCTTCGTCATTTAATTTGTTAAGGCCTGATTTTTCAATAGCCGGATAACTTTTAACTGAAGAATAAATTTAGCATATTGACAGTTTCAGTATGGGAAATATGTCAAAATGACAAGGTTATTCTTCAGATAAAAGATATCTGACGATTGAAAAATCAGCCCTAAGTAGGTAAGAAGGATCTATTTCAAATTGGCCACTTTAGTCTTTCCTTTAGTGCCTAACAGGGACCCCATGGCTTGACCATTTCACTTGAGTTGACTCTCTCTCACCGTTGCTCTATGACATTCATTGATGGTCAGCCATGGTACTTTTTCAGGATAATAGTAAGAAACCAGTTTACATATCGAGTAGATATTCTGTCTTTTTCTTGCACATGTTTTCTTCTTTCATCTCCTAAGAATTGCAGCTGTTTTTGAAACGTTAATTTTAGTTGATAACTAACAATAAGTTAAATGCACGTAAGATAGAAGTCCGGCAATCGAATCACAAGAATTGAGAACTCTAGAACCTGTCATTAACTTCAAAGGTAATCTTAAACGCATTTTAGACCGGTGACAGACAAGCCTATATAAAATAAATACTTGTCATATCTAAAGACAACAAATTAAAACGCTATCAGGCTTCAACTTGTCCCAAACCAAACTTCGTTAGCAGATGCAAAAGCCTTTCGTCCCACGGGACAGTCTCATCCAAAACAACGCCGCTGGTCACCACAAACGTGACTTACCGACCAACGTTGCGTTTGTTATTTTACTGGTTACCCAAATAATTTCAACTCCTGAAATCTGGTTTGGCTTCTTAGAAAATATTCAATTGTCATGGATGAGAAGAGCCTAAATAAACATCAAGCTAATTTATTATTTATGAGATAAATGGTAACTGGAAGCAAGATTATCTTGCGGCGTTAATTTCGGCTGTTATTTGTAGAAATTACCCGCGATGAATCGGTTCGGACACTTCGATTCTTAGTACGATCAATTATTTAAATATCCTTTATCTATTCAAATTGTGACTGAGTGTATTTCAGTTGCAATAAAATATTACAGTTAAAAGTAAGAGAAAAAAAGTTCTCGTTTCAACATAACCAATACTAGGTGTTTTTAAATTTAGGTAATTACAGTGCTATATTGCCTAAATGGTTGTGTAGGATATGAAATTGAACCTACGTTTACCTAAACATAGAAACTGGATTAGTGATTAGTGAACTAGAAGCTTAGACTACAGATAAATAGCGAACAAGTACCTAACTTAGCAATCCGCTTACATTTCATTTTCCCTAAATATCTAAATTGAGACTAAACTCAATTTTTTTTAACATTTCCTATACCACTTGCAATGGGCTCACAGCGGGCGACGTCAATCACACATCACATCCCGCTATTCCGCGCCTGCGCATCAAATCGCGCCCTCGAGCCTTCAATGCGCTGACACAATCGGTGTTACGGCAACGCCTCACAAATGCTGCAATTGTTGCAAACAATTTCATTTAACGCAAATCCACGCCTAACTGTATTCTTTTAGAGCTATCGAACACAATGCATGCTCATTTTTCTGCACTTTCTGCAAGCCTTTTGGATTAATTTTTAGGGTTGCGTTGAAAAATTGCGAGACCAACATGTTCCCAGACTCTAGGCAAATGTCTATAACACAGCTTTATTGATCTGCATTAAACCCATGTTATAAACTGTACTAGGTAACTTTGTTTAGGTATTGGTTAGGGTGTCCCTTATATGGCCGAAAAAAAATTTTTTTTAGATATTGAAATGCATACCCCCTATTTCTTTTCGTACTACTCAGACATACTTAAATACAAAATTTCATCTTCCTACGTCAACATTAACCCGTGCCGACCGAGCTCTGAAGATTTTGAAAAATGCTGGTTTTACCCCTTTTATTAAGTAGCTAAATCAATTAAAATATTTATTTTTTATAAAATATTTATTAAAAGAAGATAACATTACAGATCAGACAATATATTTTACTTTTGAGGGAACCTTTTTTACATTCTGGATACAGATTTCCATGCTCTTGAATATTGGCCTGATTTTTTCTACACTGTGCGAAGCAAAAAAAACTTTTGCTCTTCCTTTGCAATGATCAAACCATGAAAATATTGCATAAGCTTTATAGCTCTTTCAGCTGTATCATTAACTACCCTTAAAGAAAGCACTTTTTTGCCTTTAAATAGGCAACATCTTTATCTTATATAGAAATGTGTCTCAGGGGGAAATTATTATCAATTTTCAATCGGGAAAATAAATTTATACTCTTGACAGACACAAAACCACTCAATGGTTTTCCAGCAACAATAAATAAGGCATTATTATTATCAATTAATTAAAAACAGGATAAAAAATTAGTACAAAGTCCTATTTACCATAGAAATAATCCTATCTTCTTCATATGGAATGTATCTCTTCCCAGAATCATATATACTCTCTCTTTGTACTTTTACTACAATATTGACGGTGTTTGTTCATTACCTTCATCATCAAAGAGTGATAAAACGGCAATTTCTTCTGATATGAAGTACCAAAGATGTTGACTAAACTTGCTCAGGGCTGCCTTGGAAATCAATTTGTCAACACTCTCATATACCTTTTGGAAAGTGGATGTCAAGAGTTCCTTAAGGCTTTCCTCAGAGCTGGTAAGCTGGTCGTGATGTCCTTGCGTTTGTATAGAATCTTGCGTAGTAAGAGATGACGATAAACCTCCGAAACATATTTGCTCTATTTTTTATTTATTTATTTATTAAATTTTCTTTGTCTTGCAATTTCTACTTTCTTAACTAACTTTTTGTCTACACCTTAACACTCTGGATGCCTTGGTTTTATTTGTTTTTGTTAAAATATTTTATTTGTTTTTAAATCCTCCTCACCGCGGCGCTTATAAATCTTGATTTTTTTAAATAATTTTTATTGCAACTCCCTCCAAGCATGGTGAAGATACACAAGTTTTTTTACACAGTTAGGCTCTGGTAGGATTTATACCTTTTCCCAAAATATAATACACTCCCGAATGATGAGATTAGAGCTTTCAATAACATTTAATTAACTTCGCAAAATATGTTAAAAAATACCGCAAAAACTTGACGATTAACGGTAACTTTGTGCCTATTATTTGATAAATGTACGTTCCCGACTAAGAAAATACTTTTTTTGTTGCTTCTTAATTCCACAGCCATCTTCTAAATGTCAAACAATAGGTGTTAATCACGAGATTAATTGAGAACAAATGACAAACACCGCGAATACGCACCGCTACTGCCGCGCAACATGTTTCGATGCAAGTCTGCACGGGTTATCGTACTCCAAATAAGGTAAAAATTTATTTCCGAGTGTTTTAGAGGCAAACAAACAAAACTAAGACCTATGCGTTACAAATTTAAAACTTTGAAAAATAAGGGACACCCTAGTATTGGTATCATATTGTAAATGTCACGTATTTTCTGAAAATATACTTTTTATAGGGCTTTTACAAATTGTAATAACATTTCCATACTATACATACCTAGATATCGCTAGACTTCGCTCTATTTATGTTTAAGTATCGTAGATCCTAACAGTACCGGGCTTTAGACGGAACCTCATATCAATCATGACCGCGCGCACTTGGCAGCTTTTGAAAAGTGCTTTACAATTTCATAATTTGCAAAAATGGACCGTGTGAACATCATTTTTAGAGTTTGATTTTGTTTATCTTTGTTTGTAACCGCAGATAATGCTATCCAAAGCTGAAGGCTGTATCTGATCGGTGGATAATCCGTGACTCCACATTGTGAAGTTTATCACCTGCGGATTTGTGAACGCCTAACGGTATCACGAACCAATCTCTTCCTAGTTTTATCTATGGAATTTATGTAGATAAGGCCTAAAGTTTATCAGAGATAAAATCTATCGCCTATCCTCTGTTTAGCCTCATGATTCGCGCATCTAGCTTAGCTAGAAGAAGCGTAAAGAATTTTTTTTTTCAAATTTTCGTATAGCTTAGGAACGGTTTTCCACCAATGCCGAGTAGAGCGGAGAAAATGTCGGGCCATCAAATTTTTCTAAGAATTTGACAGCTGCGGCGGCGCGGCTCGGAGCCGAGAGGAGAAGTGAAAATAATTAAAAAATCTGATTGGTCATTGGCTCTTTTCAGTTTCAGCTCATAATTTTCCTTGAGTTTCGGTAAATAAATATGACTTGATTGAATCGAATCTTTGAACGTAATGTATCCATAAATTACTTAATTCTAAAATGTATTACCTAACTAGAAAGTGAATAGGTAGTACTACTGCTCTATGGTTTTATAATATCAGTGTTACTGAAAAAAATATTTATCTAAGTGTAACTTTATGTGAATAACCGACTAAACCTAAATGTCTGAGGCAGGTCAGGAATTACCAACCATTTTCTGATACATAAGTATGTATTACTTAATTATACTTTTATTTTTATGATTATTATAGTGTTTGTGTAGTGTAGTGTGAGATGTGTAGCAAATATGTTGATTGGATTAATTATTTATGAAAAGCAATGGGTAAATGAAAAATATTTATATTTTTAAGTGAAATTGTATTTATTTACAATTTACATGATCAGCTTCCTAGACTAGATTTACCTTATAACTATTTTATAGACTAATTCTAAATACCTAATTACATGTACCCCTTTGGTACCAAGTACTTAAGTACTAATACATCAGTCTTTATAAATTAAATTGCACAATATCAATATCAATTAATTATACATTGCAAAAACTTATTACCTCTACGGTATTATCAAAAATATTACAACTATTGAGATTGCACAAGTCATGAGTAGTTTAGGTAAACAAAAGTCTTAACATAAGCAAAGCGCTTGACATCGACTGCAAGCTTTAGACGCCAATTTTGCTTTCAAATTGGCAACTTCGTTCTTGAGGAACGACACTTTCAGAGCCAAGTGGATCTCCCTCATCTTCCTCCGGTCCCTGCTCTGCTTGGCTGCGTAGTTATTCCTCTCGCGCTGCTTCCTATACGCGTCGTTGGCCGAGTCTTGGTTGGTGGACCGCACAGCTCGACGCATCCTTGGGTTGTTCCCAAGAAGTGATCCACCATTCTTCTCCGCCATAGCCCTCAGCGCATCCCTTTCGAATGCCTGGAAGTCGGGATCGTCGGACAGCGCGTCCACATCCATACACAGACGTTTCGAATTCGCTAACGGTGATTCAGGCGGCGACGGCGGTCGAGCTGGGTAGTTCCCGTACTGGGGACTGACAGAAACTGGCGGCACTGATGCTTCATAGCTGGAACAGGTGCTGCCGCCTGATATCGGTGATATCTGAGTTTGGGGCACCACGAAGTCATGTCCAGACACCGGCGACGGATGGGTTGGCGGCACCAAATAGTCACGAGTGTAATAGTAGCCACTGTAGTATGCTGGATGTCCAGCAGGCACCGTCGGATACGAGTGATATCCATATCCGTACACTGCAGGAGCTGCACTTTCGATGCTCGGAGGCACCTTGGGCTCCGGTTCCTTCTTCACTTCGGTTTTACTGAGATCCAAAGCGACGTCGTCAGCGTACGGTGTCCACAGTGCCATGGTAGCAGGGAATTGCGTATGTCCGTCTCGAAGCGCAAGATGCGAGTAACTAAAGCTTCACTTGCCCAAGCGTCTCTCGGTTAGTTGGGGGCGTGGCTTATCTCGAGGGGTGGGTTTACCCCCGCCGGCTCCCTAACAAAGGGTTAGTCCGCTACCTGCACCCCGTTAACGGGACCGCAATAGATAAGAATGACCACGAGTCACTGTTGACATTTGTAATTTCCTTACCAAAATTGCAATCTAGACTTGTTTTTATTTAGGACCTTTGACAAGCTTACGTCGGCTAACGTCGGTATCGAAACAAATTTTAAATAATACTGTCAATGCGGAGCTTATAAATATACCAATACCCACTTAGAAATTACATATTTTGTTTACTTACATGTAATTAACGATCGGCGTAATGAGTTTGTTTGTGAATTGGTCTCATCCTTAAAGCTTTAAAACAAACATGAAAATACAACACGAATCAACATTAAGAGATTGCTAATTATTACGAATGAAAAATTATCTTAGGGATCATTTCACCATGCCATATGGCATATTCCCAGAAACCATATTACACAATTAAATGTCCGTTTCCTAATAAGTACGGAAAGGACAACTCTGGATGGGTGACCATAGTATATAAAAACATGTGGAATTAGAACCTTCGTGCATTGGTTTAAGAGCTAGATCATTTACCGTGGCATGTGTAGGTAATGATGCGAATGTCCAGTCCAGTACAGTCATTGAAAGAAGTCGTCGATGCGTTATTAACGATGCAACTGTCGCTATGACAGATCTATTCGGCGCATTGTACCCCAGTGCAACTTCCGGAGATTTGGTGCAACTCTTTACTGTGACCAATAATGATGTCACGGTGGTCTGCCATAATGTTATTCTATTATAAGGAGCCGGATTTCGTTATTGATACTGTATTGAGACGGATCTTCTTGAGTACAACTCGGAAGATGGGGCGACATTGTCCGTCATGAATATCAAAATGATGACAATCGCTTCAAATAACGTCATTATTATTACAGGTAGAGAAGAGTTATTATAAAAAGATGAATAATAGCAACCCAAAAGTTTCAATAAACTAAACCGCTTAAAAGGGAAGATACCTAAATAATTAGTATGCTCAATTTAGCCCTATTAATGTATTAATATTTTAATTGTTAATTTTTACCGTACTAAATAAAACTCATATTATCATACTCAAAATTTCAAACTCAAGTTTAAATAAATCATACACAAAATAGGTTTACAAATACTTAATCTAGAATCTAGCATAGGTTTAGTAATAACAAACGGCAAACAAACAACACCTGCGCCTGAGTGAATGGACAGCCCCGTCATAAAACTGGGACCTTTCAGATTACTGTCTCCAAAGACGCAGTCATGCGGGCTCATTATTCATATTTCGTTACTTCAATACCTTTTCCCAAATGCGCAAACTCAGTGCTCTTAATAAACAATAGACGGGCCCAGGCGCAGGTAGATAGCGGCGGCCGGCGCGTGCTTCTGAAGTCGCGGTAAAACACTCATAAAGAACTGATAACAATGCCACTGTGCAATAAAACTCGCCCAAAAAGGATTACATTCAAAACAGATTAACAGTTAGGGAATTCTACGGGAGCTTATTGTGTGCAGCGATAGTGAAATAAAGGAAATTTTAATCCCTGCAATAAAATGTTCGTTAAATGCTATTTTAAGACCACTTCAGTGTTTTGGGCTTTGTCTAGTTTTATAGCAGGATGACATTCATTAGCAGCCTAGTCCACCTTTGTTAGCACTAAGTACTCACGTCTATTCTGGAAACTTCTAAGATAAGTTGTTAGCATTGATAATTACATTATTATCTACTGGCTCTTTATAAAATGTAATAAGTAGAATATACAACGTGTCCCAAAATTCAAGGATAAGCCGGCGCCGCAGGGTGGACCTAGACATGACTGCTTTAGGAAAAATAAGAAAAAAAATCTATCTCAATTATTTTTTAAGTTACACAATAAATTATGAAATTCGTCGAAAATTGACACCCCTTATGATATTTTACATTACCACGACTACAATTTTTCAAATAGTTCAGTTTTTTTGTTTGTATCGGCAACTTAAATAGTGCTGCTGTCCACCCCAATTCTTAAAACCCTCAGAATCCTTGCAGTTTTTACACAAAAGTTAATCAAAATATGATATTTCCTTAAAATGTTGAACAATTTTTACTTACACTCCACTTTGACTCGTCGTTTTGTAAAAAAACAGTATGAACACTACTGCGGCAAGTTTTTCATAAAGTTGACGCAACTATCCATGATTCCGAAATGGTATAATACACTAAGAAAACTAGTCGCAAAAAGATATGCGTACCATTTTTACAAGCACTTCGCTTGTTAGTTAGTATGGGATAAATCTTGCAACTGAATTTAAAACCAGTTCTCCTTAACCAATTGAGCTGAAATTTGGTATACTTGTGTAAGTACGATGACAATGCAATATTATGGTACCATTGAGCTGGATGGAGTATGAAGGTGGCCATAAGAACTCTTAATGAAACGGCGGAATTACATCTAGTTTGGGTTCGTTGGACTTGTCTTTTCGAGCACTTTAGTGCTAGATGATGTTCAGGGTCCTGATGATGAAGTCAAGAGGTGGCAGGAGCTGGCCATAGGAACTCCTAAACGAAACGGCGGAAGCTTATCGAGTTTGGGTTCGTTGGATTTGTCTTCCCGAGCACTTAGGCCATGAGATTGAGAAACAACTAAAAAGCTTAAAATAAAGTTGTAATAAAAAAAACTTATTTAAAAACACTTCGTTTGAAAATTATAATTGACTTCATCATCACGACCCTGGACATCATCTAGCACTAAAGTGCTCGAAAAGACAAATCCAACGAACCCAAACTCGATAAGCTTCCGCCGTTTCGTTTAGGAGTTCCTATGGCCAGCTCCTGCCACCTCTTGACTTCATCATCAGGACCCTGAACGTCATCTAGCACTAAAGTGCTCGAAAAGACAAGTCCAACGAACCCAAACTAGATGTAATTCCGCCGTTTCATTAAGAGTTCTTATGGCCACCTTCATACTCCATCCAGCTCAATGGTACCATAATATTGCATTGTCATCGTACTTACACAAGTATACCAAATTTCAGCTCAATTGGTTAAGGAGAACTGGTTTTAAATTCAGTTGCAAGATTTATCCCATACTAACTAACAAGCGAAGTGCTTGTAAAAATGGTACGCATATCTTTTTGCGACTAGTTTTCTTAGTGTATTATACCATTTCGGAATCATCTTGGATAGTTGCGTCAACTTTATAAAAAACTTGCCGCAGTAGTGTTCATACTGTTTTTTTACAAAACGACGAGTCAAAGTGGAGTGTAAGTAAAAATCGTTCAAAATTTTAAGGAAATATCATATTTTGATTAACTTTTGTGTAAAAATTGCAAGGATTCTTAGGGTTTTAAGAATTGGGGTGGACAGCAGCACTACTTAAGTTGCCGATACAAACAAAAAAACTGAACTATTTGAAAAATTGTAGTCGTGGTAATGTAAAATATCATAAGGGGTGTCAATTTTCGACGAATTTCATAATTTATTGTGTAACTTAAAAAATAATTGAGATAGATTTTTTTTCTTATTTTTCCTAAAGCAGTCATGACTATGTCCACCCTGCGGCGCCGGCTTATCCTTGAATTTTGGGACACGTTGTATAAACCGTCACTTCTAGAGTTCCTACACTGATTGTGCCTAAACAATTTTATCACTTGTCCGTTCCTATTTTGTTTGGCGATATAAATAAAGTCAAAATTAATAAATATGGAATACCTAGCTAGGTACTAACCGAAAAGATAGGTCTCTAAAGTAAATTCTAAATCCGGTCTGAGTCAATGCAATGAAAATTAATGTTAAATGACCTAACCGAACCGACCGTTTAGGGAGGAACCGCTGTAAATCAACACTCAACAAAAAAGTATGGTTCCTTTACCTTACTACTTTACGATTCGCTAGTGACCTTTTTGGGCGTTTATGCGCTAGTGATACTTGACAGTTATTACCGTTAAGTGTTATTAAACGTCTCAGTAAATATTTTGAACCTAACTGATTTAGGATAATAATTTGGGCCAGTTCAATGGTGAGTAGAAACAGCTCAAGAAATTATATTGTCGGTCTGTTTTTCAATTTTTACCAATATGAGCAAGGCAGTCATAATATTCTAAGATTTTGTTTACTATAGTAAACATTCTCACTGAATAACCATTAAATTGCTATTTCCTGGACCACCAAATGCAGTTGATGTCACATCGACTTTATTGTTGACAAATCGATTGATCAATCAGTCTGGCACTTAGGTAACGGTACACCCAGTGTGGCGCTTACATAAAGGCGGGCGATTCAATAGGTATTTGTGGGGAGGGTGCGCCCGCGCATCCCACGTCTCTGAACATAGATTGATGAAGTGCGATCTGACCACACGCTAGATTATTGCGATTATTACAAATTTTATTAAATGCAGGAGTTACGTAGCTTTGCCCTATTTCAGAACAGAGCTTAAAGTTCAAATAAATTGCAAGCATAGATTGAGGTTTTTGATTTGTGGAACCAGATTTTAACTGACATTGAATCGAATTTAAAGCGATGTTTTTTGTATACGGATCGATAAATTTATTAAGAATAAACTTTATGGTTTTGTTTTTCCCCCATTTGGAAAATTACGCTTGTACGAGTAGGTAAAAAGCACACGACGTGTTCGCAGATTTATGATTTGTTACAGTTTTTCGATATTTTATGTTGTCCCGATTTGATTAATTACAAGCTATACCTATTTCGGACTTACTACTTATAAATGCCTTGAAAAGGGTCTGCATCACAGGTTTACTATAGTGAACCCATTTAAATACATTTCTTTGCTGACGATTCTGGTTTTTTTTCTATGAACTTTTGGCCAAGTCTTTTGCCTGTTGTAAGCCGTTATAGGCCTATTTATCATATTTCTAGGATAGTGACGAAATATTTAAGTTAAAGATGACGTAGGTGGTCAGTTAAAATCCCGTTGTGAGTTGTGTCTCGCCTTCAAAAAGCAGTTTCGCAAGCGTCAGAAAAAAGCCTACAATATGCAAATAGCATCGCATTTCTGCACATTGTCTCTGACATTTGCTACGGATTATAATACAAAAGGGTTCCTTGCCTTTCCTATAAACAATGCGGGCGTCTGGAACGATTCGCAAGGCAACGGTACCCGGAACAAAAGCGTCGCCATTTCTCGCCGATATGCAATCCCTTGGAGGACACCCCAAACAAAGAACCCTTTCTTTTCACTGCGAGCAAAGTTTTAGGAAGTTGTGCGTAAATTGGGCTTAATTTTATTGCACTGGACCTGTATCTGAGGAATTCATAATACTTTTACTACGTGTGGTATTTTTTGATGTTTTAGTAACGGTACTTCGGGTAGGTAGCTGCCTGAGTGATAGATACTTTTATCCCACATTAAAATATTTGACTGGCGACTGCTATGCAATGTAAGATTTAACATACAGTTATACCCACACAAAAATGCAAAGTGCACAGGACACATTTGTAGGTATTTTAGTTTATAAATTACTGTATTTGATTGAAAAAGAGGCTGACAAAGGTGACCGAGTTTCTTCCGCCACTTCTTCTCAGCACCCAGCCCATATTATGTTGTCCCGAAGTGCCCTGGAAAGGGTCCATGTACTGAATAAACTATTTCATTTCATTGCACTCGTATGATTATAAAAAACATCAACGCGTTTCACTTTCATTTTTTCTAATTTCAATTTCAATACAGGCCAAGAGCTTCCTCATTGTGGATAAAAAAATTGCTTCAATTTTTTGTTTATTATGGTAGCTCATCCACTTCACCGTTCTTTTGATACAATAATAGCAATAGGCCAAAGGTCTCAAGTGTGAACCCGCAATATATTGTGCATGTTTTTGTGAAACTGCCAACAATAGCTGAACATAAAGTTGTGCAACGCCCTTTTTAAAACGACCCTACGGGGCAAGGGGCGGTGTCGTTGTATTTTCAACCAATAGAAGTGAGTTTATAAAAAGCTGTTATGTAGAGCTTTTTTATTTCACATATGAAACTAATATGATTGAATACGTGATCGATTCTTATCGATTTCAGTCTAATTTATTCATCGTCATCAATAAATTATAAGTTTTACTTAATAATATAAGTACTTAATTAGGTATGTGTTTTTAAAGCAGTCTTTAACTTCCATAATAACAATGCAAAAGTAACTTCGTCTGTCTCTAACTTTTTCACATTTAAATCACTGAATCGATTTAGAGGTATAGAAATAGTTTGATACCCAGAAATAAAATGGAATAATTTTCATCCAGTTTTTTAAAGGATGTTGCGTGATAAAGTGTTTCTATGGGATACCTAAATTCACTCTTATTTATATCGTACAAAATTGTCACGGAACTAAAAGTGCGGGGTCTATCTCGGCCCAGGAGCCCCCATCACCCTCGGAATTGGAAGGGTTACGTATTAATTGACTGACGCGGACGCACCCCTGCGCAACAAGGCACCCCACGACAGAGTTATGTAACGTAACTAACTTATCGATCGCTAGATAATATTGCACACTCTTATTTCGTCTTTTCTTCGTCTATCAAATTATGGGCTGATTTTTCAACCATCGGATAACTTTTAACTGACAGTTTCAGCATGGCTGATATGTCAAAATAGCAAGTATTCTTCAGTAAGAATATATCTGACGATTTAAAAATCAGGCCCAAAACAACTGAACTTAGAACCCTAATAACATACTTACTTTACGAACCGCAATATGCGTCTCCAGTTCTCCACTCGTATTAATTAGTACGGACTTTCATTACTTGACCAAATATTATGGTGTGGTACTATTTATTTCCTTAATTAATTAATGTTACCTACTACGGCCCAGATCTTTTAAACGTAACTACAATGCAAGAAAACATAGAAAATTCTATGTGATCTGCAGTTATGCAGAAAGATTTGCATCGGCCGCTCCGCTACATCTGACATGACATAGATGTCACAGTAGATTATTTCCCACAGCTGCGAAAGATATCAGATCTATTGTAATATCATTTTGGGCACGAGAGCTGTCGTGTGCACAATCATAATAATCCTTTTGCAGGTGCAGTAGAACCCGTTGTTTTTATAGGCTGCCGCGCGGACGGAGCCGCGTGCCAATGTTGTCTTTGTGACTAGGAATATGAGATGTGACAGATATTGCGGAGAAAGAAAAACTTTGTGGAAGCTTTGAAACTAAATATTTTTGGTGCGCACGCGTAGTGAAGATCAATTTCATCATCATAAGCCGGTCCTTAGTCTGTAATTTACCGAATCAAAGAATCATAATAAATGATACCTATTTAGTTTCCAGCTGAGCAGACATATCATAGAAACTCGTTACCATTGAAACAAACAAACGTTCATGAAAACGGATAGATAATCGTTTAACATTGCGAGAATCGAACCCGCTACCAGAATATTAATAATTAATATTACCTCAACCCGCTACTCTTAATGGTATTAAAGTAAATCTATGTCTAGAATGTATGAAAAATTAAACAGCGCCCCCTATATTATAGCCGCCCTAGGGGGCGCTGTTTAATTTTTCATACAAAATTTTTCGATGGCACTTTGAATACGCAAACGAAACGAACTCGAAAGTTTTTCGTAATAGAGGTACAGATCACATAGTTGTCTGCCAACTTCTAGATAGGAACCTAAAATTAACGCCATTTCTTCGATTACAATCATTTAAATACTTATTAAAAAATATTATGGTATTAGATCGCAGAAGTTAGTAATTTCGCTACGAGTATGTAAGGTGGCATTCACGGTGGGCGCGGTCTGCGCACACGCCTCCAATACACACACTCGTCGCGAATCGCTACGGCTACGCGGCTACGACGCTACGATACCGCTACGACGCTACACGGTGTTTTTAGGGCTTTTTCAGTCATTCGATGATTGATCATCCATTCCGAAATCCGTGAAAACTCGTACAAATTAAAACAATACTACTGCTGCTTCTAATCGACATTTATTACGGATTCTGTTAAGATGCAGTTATCGATCTAACGATAGCCAGTTATCCATTAGCGTAAGTATATGAATTACGTGATCGAAACAATTTTAAATTAGTTACATTAACAAGATCTTTTTTATATGAACTTAGCTATGTAAATTTCGTTTTCATAGATGATAATACTAATTGATTTTTTATTTTATTTTAATAGACATGTAGGTAGGTATTATGCTTATAAAATAAAACAGAAAGAATTTTTATCAATTAATTTATTTACAATACATTTTTAGTAATTTCTACAAACTCACAAAAGATACATTTTTCGTTGAAAAATATTTACTTAATATCACAATATTGTAACATTATTTCCACACCAATTTTATGGGCATATGTATCAATTAAAATTAACAATAATTTACTAAATCTTAATTTTACATGTATTGTAAGTTATTTTACCCGTAACATTTTCAAATGCGACTTAATACGACTAGAAATTCATTCTGCGACATCGTTATTAATTTAAAATTTACTTCGCTAATCGCTTACATTACAAACATTGCACAAAACCAATTTCATACGAGTAAAATCAATTCATCTTACACTTAAAATTACATCCACTACAAAAGTTTATCCATTTTAGCATTCGCACACTTGTTGACAGCGACCACAAACCCCGGCGGCCAGTCGCGCCCTCAAATCCGCCATTTTCTTCTTCAAGAAAGTTACTTGAAAAGCCAAGCGAACTTCCCTCAGCTTCCTTCTGTCCCTGCTCTGTTTCGCGGCATAGTTGTTTCTTTCGCGCTGCTTTCTGTACGAGTCGTCAGCCGTTTGATTTGTCTGCACAACCCTGCGCATGCGAGGATTGTTACCGAGAAGTGAACCTCCATTCTTCTCAGCCATAGCGCGTAAGGCGTCCCTCTCGAAAGCCTGATACTCTGCGTCGTCATCCAAAGATTCGAGATCGTACAGCTCAGGCGACTGAGGCGGCGATGGCCCTGAACTTATAGACTTCTGGCGGTACGCTTGAGGAGACCAAGGAGTACCGACGGACTCCGGTGAAATCTGAGCTGATGGGACACTGTACGCTGCCGGCGGCTCCGGATAGTTAGCGTAGTATGGAATGGAATTCACTGTCACTGGCAGCGGCTGCGGTGAGACCGGGAACTGATGATACACGTACTCGTTGTAGACCGGCGAAGTGTTAGTCACGGGCACTTTTTCCAGGACAGGCGACGCCGGTTCCGCCTTGATAACGGGTGCGCGACTCAAGTCTAAAGCGGTTTCTTGAACGTACGGCGTCCAGAGAGCCATTGTCGCAAACTTGTCAACGGGAGATGCAATTCGCGTAAACTGTAAGGAAGGATTGAAGCACTGTTGCAAAGCTTGCCCAAGCGTCCTGCACGAAGGGGCGGGGCCTCGAGTGGTGGGGATGCAGCGTGCCCATTGCAACGGTGCCCAAAGGGTTGTTTGTTACCTGCTACGCATTAACGGGATTTCGCAAAATGACGCATTTGTTTTTTAAATATTGTAAGTTTGAAGATTGTTTTTCTCAAATTTAATTAATGATAACATTTGTTAATACTTAACCTATTATTTGTTTCTGGAAAATATAATGCCACAAAAATACAAACAATAGGTCTTAATAAACAACATTAGCTAACAGGGTTTTTAGCTTAAAATAATTTAAATCTACTTATTACAACTCTTATGTAGGTAAATAAGGTAGGTAGGTAACTATGCACATTTTAAACTTATAATAAGTATATCTATTCCAAGGATTTTTATGTTAAATAGGACTAATACAATTTTAATAGTAAATATTAAAGCTAGGTAACTACTTGAGTTCCTACTAACCCTAGTCATAATATTCCTAAGAAATTAAAAAGTGCTAAGCTATTGACACCGTTTACACTCTTTAACAAATTTAAATTTGAACTAGTGACCCGCCCCGGCTTCGCACGGGTGGTAAGAATAACATAATAAATCTTCCTCTTGAATCACTTTATCTACTTATTTAAAAAAACCGCATCAAAATGCATTGCGTAGTTTTAAAAATCTAAGCTCACAGGGACTGACTTTTTTATACTATATATTATACAGCGATATTAAAACATTGTTAGTGAAAATGGTACTTATTTTAAACCTTTTTTACATTTTATGATTAATGTTTTATAATGAAATCTGTGTTTTAACTAAATAAAATTACAGTCTACGTAAAATACCATAATCTACAGAAGCAATCCCGCATCTTCCGTAGTTTTGCAAGTGCAATAAACTCAGTTCTTAGTGCAGTCAGTCAAAGTTAATCCGAATGAATGCATATCTGAGATTAGGGATAAAGTGTCTGTCACACAAATGCTAGCTTCGCCTCACTTGAATGGATAATTCGAGGCTTTTATGCTTTCATGTGGGATGACAATCAGACGGACCACCGTGACATCTTGTTAAGTATTTAAAGTTTGGTAGATTTGCCCAAGAATGGCAATGGCACGGAAGTTGGTGATACAATGTTAGAGCAAAGAAATTGACAGTCATCTCTATTGGTTTTTAAAACTACAGTGATTTTTATAGATACCTTAACCGCCTCTGTGGTCTAGTGGTAAGACCACCTGCTTCAGACGCAGAGGTCCCGGGTTCGATTCCCAGTGGGGGCAGATTTTTCTGTTCGGTTTGGTTGGTGGTAGGGCTTGTTCTAAGTCCGCCTGGCTAGCTACCACCATCTTACCTAAGTCTGTCGCCATAACAACAATGTTAACAGCATTGTTGTGTTCCGGCAGTTAGAGGTAAGATAGCCAGTTCCTCCGTGGTTGAGGATTCCGGGTGAAGCTCGCTTCCACCTTCGGCCTGATCATCACTTACCATCAGGTGAGATACAGGCCAAGAGCTTCCTCGTTGTGGATAAAAAAAAAAAAAAAAAACCTACATACAACCCTAAGGCTAAGAACTCACGGCGCAATTTTCACCCGCGTCCGCGGCGGTTCTGGAATTGCGGTTTTATTTCAAAACTCACGGGAGCGGTTATTTGCGCGGTTATTCTAAGAACTCACGTGAGTTTGTGAATTAGGTTTTACATAAGTAAGTATCTGCATTCTACAGAAGCTGCGGGCCCGCAACCGCCGCGGGCGCGTGTGAAAATCCGCGCCATAAGTTCTTGCCTAAGTTGGGAACAAGCGTAAGTAAGTAGGTAACTATATTAAATAACTAACTCACTAGCTAATCTCAATCTAATCTTCAACTACGAATAATAACGCGAGCAAAAGCTCGGTAGGTTGTAGGTAAAAATCATTGGGGAGGCCCTTGTTCTGTTCAGCAATAGACGTCCTAAGCTGTGGCTGAAATGATGTATTTTATTTATTAGGACAACCAACAAGACAAACACGCATACATGGAATTACTATAACTAAAAGTGCTTAAAACTACATAAGTGTTGTCTTAATTAAAGGTAGCCTTTCAAAATAAGCGTCACAGACGCAGCGTCTTTAGCTTTGGTCTTGTGCCACCAACGCAACGCCGCGTCACTTACTCGCTTCGAAAAGCTAAAGACGCTGCGTCAGTGACGCTTAGTTTGAAACGAACGCTATCTTAGAGGCTGCCACGGCATGCAATGTGGACAGTTGGATATTTAAAAATAAGAAATAGAAACACAATGATGATGATGAAGACCTACATGCTCCTACACCTGTATTAGCAGTAGTTCGGTTTTTAGTCCAGTTGACCGAACTACTGAAACTTTTCAGTTGGTGTTTTCGTGTCCCTTACATACATAGCAAGTGATTAGTAAAGATTTTTTTCTAGCTATCTAGCACAGTGTTATGGTTATCGCCTTAGCTAAAAGCGAGGCCTTACTTAATTGTAATATTCGGCCTGATCGTCACTTTACCATCAGGTGAGATACAGGTCAAGAGCTTCCTCGTTGTGGATTAAAAAAAAAATATTTATTTAATATTAAAAATAAATAATAATTCGAAAACTGTAACCTCATAAACCGGGCGATTAGGATAATTATCATTGGGGATCATCAATATACCTAGGCCATTTTCAGCACTGCTGAATCAGCAGTAGGTAAACATCCTGTGACTGAAATGATGATACTAAAAAATTAATTACCTACACTAACAATGAATTTATTGTGTTCTGTTTGCGGTTCTGTTCCCTATGTTAACTTGTTCAACTATTTCTTTTCAAAGAATAATAGAATAAGAATTACAAATGTGGCGATTCACTAGAACCTCAAATGTTGCACTGATTTGTTTTATTTGCCTAAACTGGTGCATAATATTCACGAACACATAGAGTAGTTAATACTTAATCCACCAGTTGTAATCATTTTAGTCGGCGAAATTTTTTAGAAAATAAAATTACCGAACAATGCGATTCCTTTACTTTCCCGCCAAAAAGAGCCAGCTAAATGGAGCCATTCTTAAATTAAATAACATGACGATTTAGGAGGGGACCCCTCTTCTCCTATGTCAACATGTCTTATTTTTTCTTACAAGCGGGTGAGAGGTTCCTACGTAAGATTACAAAAATGCGCAAAGTTAAAATTATACTTTGAAAAAACGCGCGGGTAACCGCGCGAGTGCCGAGTTGCGCTCGGATGAGTATGTAAACGATTTCCATTTCCATAGCAACGGACGGACCCACGCCACCTGCACTGCGCCTCCCGGGAGTTCCCCGTTTCTTTTTTATTATTTTTCCAGTTATCCCAACTTTTTACCGAATTCATTTTATTTATTTTATTTTATGTATTAGGACAACCAACAAGACAAACACGCATATAGGTGTACCAGAATCTCATGGCAAACAAAAATATTGGAAAAGTGTGTTTTTCATATGGCAATTGTCTATGGTTTAATTGTCATCTGTCAAAGAAAATTATGACATCTGTCAGCCGCTGTAAAATTTTTGTAATCTCTTCTTGACTATTTGTTATTTTTGGGAAAAAGTCGAAAAAGTTCAAGCAAGGCATATTGTTTTCAATGTGAATTGTAAAATAAGGCATAATTCAAAGTTGATCTTTGATTCTAAAGCGCGTCGTCGAGTTGACAGTAAGTTGGACTGAAATGTTTTGATACATTTAGTTTATTACCCAACTGTGTCAGAAGGAGGGTTGTGTTTTTTTATATTATTCTTAGTTAATAGCTGCTTTATCGGGGTTTTCAGGTATATCTCACAAATTGGTGCAGATGTTATGACCATGTAAAGAAAATTGAAAAAGATTTCATAAAGCAAGATTGAATAATGGAGAAGTTTCCAATTTTTTTTCTTTGAAATAAACTTGAAATAAATATAAGAAGAACTAATAATAATTGTGAAATAATCATGAAAATATCTCTACAAATAAATACGTTACAGGGCCCTAAAGTTGCGCATAACTATTCACGCCATTTTGATCGGTGTATTCACACAGTCATTCGGAGTACAAACAGTAAATCACCCCTGATCCAGCCAGTTCATTTTTTTTTTCTTTGAAATAAACTTGAAATAAATATAAGAAGAACTAATAATAATTGTGAAATAATCATGAAAATATCTCTACAAATAAATACGTTACAGGGCCCTAAAGTTGCGCATAACTATTCACGCCATTTTGATCGGTGTATTCACACAGTCATTCGGAGTACAAACAGTAAATCACCCCTGATCCAGCCAGTTCATCTCAAGATTCTTTCTTAGTAAAATTTTGTAACATTTTTTTTAAATAACCCAGACCTGGCCATATACAAAAAGAACGGCACCGCCTATGTTTTAGTTCCACGCGAAAATATGGAGGTAGTTAATTTAAATAATTAATTTCTCAGACATTTCTTTTCTCACAGACGATTTATTTAATTTCCAAGACATTTTCCTATGAATAACAACATTCTTCATACACATACCTACCTAAAATGTATATTCGTACTTCATGTTCATTAATATTAGTCATAAAAGTAAAAAATTAAACAGTATCAAGATCGTTTATTCCAATTTCCCCAGTATTGCTCTCAACAAAGTTTATTTTCCCTATTTGCCATGAGATTCTGGTACACCTATACATAAAATTACTATATAGCCTGACCAGGAACATAAAAACCCTGGCATAGAGGCGCTTTAATTGCATTTGATAGTGCAACACTGAGTACAGTCGTACATGTGTTAAATTAATAGGCTAAATTTATGTATCAGGATTCAGGATTACGGGCTAATTTGATATTTTCATAAATTAACGAAAAATATTATTAAAGGTAACCTGGTTTAAATAAATTAAATGAAACCATCAATCGAGCTAGTAGGATTTATTTTATTATTCATCAATAATCAAATTCAGAACTTGAATATTCAACTACAATGTCTGCTCATGAACGCTTCAAACTCGGTACTTCTTTCCCAATTCCATAAAATTCAAAACTTAGAAAGTGACAAAAAACTTTAAAATAGGTAGTTGAAACAGACTACAGCTAATTTTCATAGTGGACTGTACTATACGATAAACATGTCAGTCAATTTGACAACCTTTGTCGGAAACATTATTCAATGAAAATATTGTCCGAACCCTTAATATTTCTCTTCGACAAATACATTAACACATCGTGAACCACTTTTCTTTCACGACTATAAAAATATTTTAGCAATTTAATTCACAAAAAATCAATTGCAAACATTTAAAATAAAGTTTGTTTACACTTTGACAACAATAGACTGACATGCAAGGTGACATGTAAATGAAGTTTTCAGTTACTGTTGCCATTAAAAGAAATTAGTACCATTAGTTTTCCGCAACATGGCGAGGGTTTTTATGTTCCTGGTCAGGCTATAATTAGTTATAGTAATTCAACAAAAATTAGGTTTTTTTTTCACCTTGATCCCGTGATTCGCACCCTTTCTAAACTGGCTAAATACTCAGAACTCCTGGCGAAATTTTTACAATAATAAAAAAGTAAAATGACAAATTTGACAATTGTATTGTTGATTGTCAATATTGTCATTTTCGGGGTTTTTGTGACTTGTTCAAAATTGTTTACATTGATCAATACAAATTAATTATTTAACGTTTTAATGATAATTACTTAACTTATTAAGTTCATAAAAAAGTACAACTAAAAGTGATTAATATGGATCTCAAGCTGTGCCGCTTATGTGGAGAAACAGTCGGAAACGTAAATGTTTTTGATACCGACCAAAATGGTGTCTCGATATGTTCAAAAATCATGCATTGCTGCTCCAAAATCAAAATAGAAAATTATGATGGACTGCCTTCTGTTATTTGCGTCTGCTGTGAACAAGATTTGGCTACAGCTTACCGATTTATATTGAAATGCGAGGCCACTGATAAGACTCTGCGGTCTCAATATTTGGAATCCAAACACAACACTGTATTGACTAAAATAGAAATAAAATCTGAAGATTATGAATTTAATAATAGTGATCATGACCTGTCTATGAATTACAACTCGTATGATGAATTAGATGTGCCTCTTGCAGTTGTAAGCAAAAGAATAAAACTGGAAAATACAAAATCATGTAAAAACAAAAGTAAAGGTTTTCCAAAACGTAAAAAGAAAAGAAATAAACAGAAAGGCCCTGAGAACTGTTCCGTGTGTGGAAAGGAATTCGCTAACCCTTCCACACTGTTAATTCACATGCGATCTCATACTAATGAAAAGCCCTACCAATGCAAATTCTGTGATAAAAGATACAAAAACGCGGGTAGTCTAAAAAGACATTCAGTCAGAAATCACATGAAAATAAGAGCCAGGAGATTTATCTGTGAGAGTTGTGGCAAAGGGTTCTACACGAAGACGGATATAATAATCCATTTGCGGACGCATACAGGGGAAACTCCGTATTCCTGCTCGGAGTGCCAGGCTGTGTTCACCCAGCTGAGCTCGTTGATAAGGCATAAAAAGAATCATCTAGGAGAAAAAACAGAAGCTTGTGATGTATGCTACAAAAAGTTCATTACAAAAGACTCACTAAGAAGACACCGAATGGTTCATACTAGCAGTAAACAATATTCATGTAATATTTGCCTAGGAATATTTAAGTATAAACAAAACCTCACCAAACATTACAAGGTCCACTCTGAACCGAATAGTTTTGTATGTAATCATTGTGGCCGTACGTTTAATTCGAAAGGGAACCTTAAGACTCATATGGACAGACTACACTCTGAAAAGTCTGGTTACTGCAATACATGCTCTAAGATTGTTTCAAACCTTGAGGTGCATATGTGGAAGCACACTGGAGAAAGGCCACTCAAGTGTGAACTTTGCACTAGAAGTTTTTGTGAAGTGAGAGCGCTTGCCCACCATATGAACTTTCGTCACAATAAGACTGATAAATTCAAATGCACAGTTGAAGGCTGTCTATGTGGCTTTCCATCCCGCCCAATGCTCGAATATCACATTGCCAAAGTACATGAAAGTTGCTTTAAATATCCATGTGACAAGTGCTCCAGAGGTTTCTACAGAAAAAATGATTTGGTCAGGCACAAAATAGGAACTCACAAGGAAAAGTTGATGTAGTTATGATTACTTGTATTTGTTTAAAGAAACAATAAAATTCCAAAATAAAAATGTACCTATTACACTGGTCAACAGTGGTTTTGGTGCCAAGGAACTGTATATATTTTTTGATTGAGGACCTTATGCTGGTTGCTTTAGTAGCAAATTTGTTGATTTCCTACGTGTGGTTTTCTAGATTTTGACGTGTATAGAAAAATACAAAATTTCACCAAAATCAGCGTTTATAATATTATGAAATGCTTAAAAACTTTACTTTCCACAACTTTTGTGAATGAGGTGTAATGGAACTATCACGTTACATCCTCCAGCAGTAATCAGCCATCATATACCGATCCCATCTGCCTTGGTACCTCTCTTCCAATGGTTTTTAGGTCTTGATAGCATCGCTCTCCCTATTCTTAGCTATAGCATTCTATAGTGACCCAAGATTCTCTGGGAATTGGTCAAGATGACTGTGGAGGTAGTGCTCTTTGATAAAAATTATGACATCCTGAGTTTTTAAGGCATTTCTCACAATTTCAGAGTAGTTACTGGACTAGTGATTTCCGAAAAAAAAATTGTAATTTCAATTAACAAAATCTATGCAAATCGTTCCAAATAGTCCATCGAACTTAAGAAATCAGTATCTTTTATTAATATTGTTATTTATGGACCATTAAAAATTACTTAATAAATTAATTAAAAAAAAAAATGCTCAAACTAGGATTTTTTTTTTGATCTTTCCTCACTTTCTCCACTCTGAACTTCATGTTACGGCTTCTTTGACCATTGTAACCTTGCCTTAAGTGTTCACAGAAGATTATAAAAATAATTTTGGGTATCCACGGCTTGAATACAACCACAATGTCCGACTTAAAGTAAGAAAAATAAGCACTTTTAATAAAATCTTGCCTGAATTTTTGAACTTTTTAACTGTGTGCACACCACCAATGTAACAGAAATACATTTTGATTATTGAGACAACTTCTTAGCAATGTAGACATGATATTAAAATAAATGCATTAATAAAAATGTACCGAGAACACTACAAACTGTCCAACCAACGTACCCATTAAAGCTAAATTTAAAAACTGAGGGTAGATCCAAAACTACACGTAGGAAAAAAAAAAGAAAAATATTTTTATTATTACTAATACACACCTATAATAAACTATCAACAGAATCTCGGCACCATTTTCATTTTGATTTTTTGTTGACCAGTGTTATTATTTTTCACCTAATCATGTACATAAAGGTCTCATAAAGTACTACACCATTACCACAGTACCACTACCGTGACTACACGCTGTATTTTATCTTCTCAAAATATGAACTTCCAACAATACATTATGTAAGTTTAATTAGGAAATGTAAAATTTATTGTAGTGTAGGATCTAACTTTGCTTTATTCCCATTGTACGCACCAAGTTTGTTGTAATGTAATGCTGTTTTGGCGATCATATGCGTAGATCGTATTAGCACCAAACTACTGATTTTCATGAGCAAGCCCCCTATCCCAACTAATATTATAAATGCGAAAGTAACTCTGTCTGTCTGTCTGTCTGTCTGTTACGCTTTCCCGCTTAAACCTCGCAACCGATTTTGATGAAATTTGGCATAGAGATAGTTTGAGTCCCGGGAAAGAACATAGGATAGTTTTTATCCCGGTTTTTGAAACAGGGACGCGCGCGATAAAGTTTTTCTGTGACAGACAAAATTCCACGCGGGCGAATCCGCGGGCGGAAAGCTAGTTGATAATAATTTGTATAATGAAAATAAAACAAAGTTATACTATACAATAATATTTATTTAGTGCTGATGAATATCATGATCAAAAAATAAACCATATCACAGTCCACCACAGAACTAAAGAACAGAATCAATAGAAAGAGAAAGAAACATTGAGTACTTCTATACAAATGATACTTTGTATTGTTGATTAGTTTAAAGGTGAAATTTATAGACAATTAATAATATAAATGGTTCAATATAACAGTAATTCCATAATAACATCATCATGGACTGCTTAATAATTATTTTTATTACATTCAAAAATGTATTTATGTCCTTCATAGTCATTTCATTTATTATAATATTATCAACACAATATCCTGCATGTTTTGTACAAAAACAAGTGTTACCTTATTACAATATTTATAGTAATAAATACATTGCATTCTAGTCCATTATTTACATGGAATCTATATAACATTTTATATGTAAATAAAAAAAAAATTGCACATGTTACAATCAGATTTTTGATCCAGTCAAAATGTATAATCGATAGTTTAACCTAAATAAATAAATCATACGCAAACATCATAAATTATTCAATCATCAGTCAACAGATTATACTATCTAATTACATCAACATTTATAATAGTTACAAACAGACGCAATTGTGTAGTGTTACAGGACAACAATCACAAAGACAGGACAAACTATCTGTAATACCGATTAGGCCGTCGGACTCGCGTTGATCCCGTAGTGACTTCATAACTATGTACAATACCACATTAGTTGACCAACATAACAACAAGAATTCTGGTAAATTCAGAGCTGATGCTCTGGCGTCGCATCACAACCGACACTTCGTCACAATCCCGTGATATTTCTCTACATGGTACACACTGGTAAACTACAGCTAAGCAAGTGGTTTGTGTCATTTAAAAACAATTTCTTGTAGCCCTATTTCATTATTACTAAACTAAACCGAAGAAATGAAATGTTAGCACCAGAGAAATTTATGTTCATGTGTAGTTTAATAGTATTTTTCGATTGGCCGAGTCGAATCGAGTTGTGTCGTTGTCACCGATTTTTAGTTCATGTTATAAATTAACAATACTTATAAATATGTATTTACATTAACATTAGCGTTTGTTACAACCAAGTTTGAATAACTATTATGTATATTAATGAATCCTAAATGGTCAGACGAATTTAGCTTACAACCTCCAATAATTAATTTGTATTTTAGGTTAAATTAAGGCAACATTTCTCTAGCTCTCATTTCTTTGTCAAAATAAGTATACATACAATACATACATCCATTAAAAGTTAACCATATCAACACCCATACTTTATAGAAAGCAGTGATTTAAATATGCGTTTTGATAATTTAAATGTAAAAACTCAGGGCTAGATAATTTGTATAGAGTATATTTCAGAGAAATCCCATTCGTAAGACATAGATCTATTGGATTTCAAAACGAAATCACTGCTAATAAATTCATAATATCTATAACAATATAAAATTCATATCATAAATTAAAACAATCTTAAAATAACATGCACATTGCAAACCAGCTCCCTAAATATTGGCAGTAGCAGAGTCTATATGGCTATTTTATTTTTTCCCTGGTACTGTCCACGCATACAAGCATATAAATTTCGTTGTCAGTGAACTACTAGCCTTAACGTGGAAGATACATTATTGTGAATTTCATTAAAAAATACAAGTAAACATGTCATAGAATTAATTTAAATTGCTTCACTTTTGAGACAGTATAATATAATATGTGCAGTATAATGCAAACATTGTCCATGTATATGAATAAATAGAAAAATAATCTATTTAAATTAAAATAACAATTGAATTAACCTCTATAGGATTATTATAACTACTAAATATAGTTGTACCATCTGTTACGAGTAAGTCAAACAAGGAATGAGTCCATTAACGTAAGACGTTGCAGACTGAACATACGTTGCTAGTACATATTTTGGTACAACATGATAGGGCTGATTTGACATGAGCCACTGCATCATTCGGTAATAGTCCTATTTACATACAAGTTGCTATCGAACCGCGTTCCCTCGTCGCCAATGTTTGAACAAACAATTGAACTGTACAACAAGACAGTTTTAACCAATGGGTTAAAGTGGAACTATACACCAATACATTTTAAAAACTGACTTGTTTGGAACTAACATCTACTGAACATCGAAGTAAAAATTCGATCAATAGGAAACGCCATACGTTATTGTTTTATAAATTATAAAAACTTCGTCGCCAAAAAAGCGTAGTGTCACTATAAATCTGCTGTAATACGTTTCCTTGATTTTATATTTTGTTATTGTAGTGTTTCTAACAGTCAATATCATGTTAGTCCCAAAAATAAAATCAAATTGTGGTTGCAATCCTTTTGTGCCATTTCCTGAAATTCTCTCCCAATCAAATGACAAGAGACAAGACTATCAAATAACTGTTACAACAACCAGAATATATGTCTGTTTGCTGTATTAAAACGTTCTCTATAGTCTGCATCAATAGACTTCAGTCATTATGAAAAATCAATTTTTACAGAGAACATTTTCTCAAGGATCAATTTTAGTAGACAATTTTGTACAAACGGATTGCAAGTTTGCTTATTTCTATTGGTGCGGACAATAGAAGCTATTTGACAGCCACAACCTGTCTTTTGTCATACCGATCATATAGAAAGAGAGTTGTTTAACTTTGTCTAGCATTGTATCACTCAACGCTAGTTCCACAAACCCATCAATCTTTTTCATTGGGCCTGAAAAGTTCTAGTTTATCTGGCACAGGCTAGTTCAACTGCCACCGATTTCAACATCCTCAAAATCGTGAGATGATTTAATGTCTGGCACGGAATTAGTTCAACTGACCCATCTCATTTTGCCCGCTGGCGCTTAAACAACTTTCAGAGTTGGGACCCTAAGCTTGTTACATGTAAGTTCCAATCGTCCATAAAAGTCCCATTGGTGCTAAAAGAGCTGTTTACTTGCTTCTCACTCACCAGCTCAATTGATAGCTTGTTCCGTCATTTGCAGACACAGCGCATCCAGACTGGAGTAGTCGTCGGACAGGACGGACGCGGGGGGAGGGGGGCGGGGTATCGCGTGCGGGGGGAAGGGCGGGTAGGAGTTGGACTTGGGCCGCGGCAGCAGCGGCCCGCGGCAGGCGGGTGCCCACGTCCGCCTGTGGATAGGCTTGTAGCCGTTGTGAGTGCCGACGCGCCATCTGTGGAGTGGAAGAGGCAACGGTGAGTATTTCGATGTAAGACTTACCACCTCGACCAAATAATAGCAAGCTTTCTGAAGGAAATGGAAGATTTTTTTTTTATGTTGTTACAAGGCATTGAATAAAACAGTAAAAGTATGGCTAAAATTCAAAACCTAATTAAAATAGCTACGTTACATGGCGGATCCTAAATATTTGATGCAGAACAACACCTTATAAAACTATTTAGTTAGAGGATTATACTTATTAGCTTTTACTACTCTACCCTCATCCGAAATGTTTATTTTAATTACCTATTCATTTCATGCACATTGCACAATGGTGCTGCCACAGTACTTAAAAATCTAGGAGCGTAGTGTAAGTTTACGTCAAACGCATTCGATGTCGACTGCGTAAAAAAGTGACACTAAATGTATGACGGATTGTACTGCGCCGCGTCTTTCCGTTCTATACATGGCCAGAACGCACCCATAGGAAACTGCTCGTGTATATTTTGTAGTGCCCGTTTGTAAATCTGTGACTCCAAACTATACACGAATTTTGCGTACTGATCGTGTATAGTTTGGAAGAGGTTAGTAAAAAAGTCATATCCAAACTATACTCGATTAGTTTCTACTACACCACTTACACTTGACTAGAGTGTCTTTAGTTGATATTGATTTAGTAAAATATGGAATTATAAAATATTTAAAATTACATTTATTCGATATTATTACATAAAATATTATTATTTTACTGAATCTATAATAAATCTAGATTTTTGACATATTTCCATATCTACATAATTCTTAATTTAAGAGTTATTCGAGAATTGGTGAAAATTAAATATCAGCCCCAAAACAAATATCTTTTCTATGGCAGAATACGTGTCGAAAGATGATTCAATGTTTAAAGTAGACACGCAGATATGAATTAATATGTAATAGAAAGAGAGCTCAATAAGACAAAATGACTAGCATGCAACTACTCGCGTATAAATAGTAATCACGCACTTATTACAATACATACTGGCGATGTATATTTTGGAGTAACATAATTGACCTAAGTCACTACAAAGTATACGCGAGCAGTACGCAGCATATGCGTACTGGTCGTGTATAGTTTGGAGGAGCTTAGTAAAAAAAGTCATCTCCAAACTATACTCGATTAGTTTCACACCCTTGCGTTCTGGCTATGTATAGAACGGAAAGACGCTACTGCGCCCCTAGCGGAAACTTTGAGAAACTGAAATCTTCATATATTTTTTAACGCGCTCACTAGTGACGTTTGATGTAAACTCACACTAAGGCCTAGAACAGACGGTGAAACGAAACTACAACTGCTAGTTACTTTTGAGTTGCATCTAAGAGTAGGCGCACACCGTTGATTTTTAGTTGGCCGATAGTTGTGCCCGATTTTAAATTGTATGAAGAATCGGCCAAAACGAATCGGCGTAGTGTGCGCACTCCCATACTGATCAACTGCCCGACTAAACTATCGGCCGACGAAAAATCAACGGTGTTCGCCTACTCTAAGTTTCTGCCATAGCGTCCGTTGAGAGACCACACATGACGCGACCAGTTTGAAACTTTCAGTTTCATTCATCAGAATCATCACAAAGTTGCAGTTTCGTTGCAGTTGCGTTTCACCGTCTGCTCTGGGCCTAAGATCCTTGTTCTCTTTTATATTTTTTTCAAATACAATTTTGGTCATTGTTTCATTGCTAAATCCTCTTGTGTAGTACAGGGTACATGTAGTACATACCTGGGCTTGGGACACCGCCTGTTGAGCGGCATGTCGCTGACGTGGTGGAAGAACTGTCGCGGCGGCAGGCGGTGCCGCAGCCGCTTCAGCGCCGCCTGCAGCTCCGGCCGACTGAACGCCTCGTGGTGCAGCGCCTGGGAGAAATAATTCCATTGGAGGTTGTTGGATAGCTGGAGGACTTTGGATAGCGTTGGCTATCTATCAACTATCCTATAGTCATTATGCTACAAAACTCTATTAGATAGTTGAATATGGCGGTCAAAAAACTCGATTAGAGGACGTTGGATAGCCGACTTACCGGATACAAGACTCGGTTGGAGGACGTTGGATAGCTGAATATGGCGGCTAGTAAAAATATTTTTATCATGTTAGAAAGAAGCATAATTATTATGAAAAAGATTCGTAATTTTTTTAACTCTCGAAATATTGAATTGTTGAGCATCCTCTATTTCTTAAACGAAGCGTCTCTAAAACGCGCGTCATTGATGCGTTTAGAAAACATGGTGTGCACAGGCACTTAACAGAAAATATTGAGGTATTGAGGATGCGGATGTGGATGAAGATAACAGAAAAGACAATAAATTATTATCTTAACTTTCTTTATGCGAATGAAGATACCAATATCCGTAATACCTTACCTTTTCCACCAGCCAGCAGTGCAGCGACAGCGGGTCGACGGGCGAGTCGAGCTCGCTCTCGTCAGGCGGCGCTAATGTCGGCACGCGAGCGATCGCGCCCGCGCCGTTGCATAAACTCTTTGATGCTGGAATTAACGTTTAGTTAATGGCTGATTTTACAATCATCAGTTAACTTTTAACTGAAGAATAAACTTGTCATTTTGACATATTTCCCATACTGAAACTGTCAATATGCCAAACTTATTCTTCAGTTAAAAGTTATCCAATGATTGAAAAAGCAGCCCTAAATGTAATTTATTGTCTATTATAGCTATTTAGATCTTTAAATCGTAATGATTTGCAAGATTGACAATTTTGGTTTGGTACTGATGAGACTTAATACCCAATTAACTGAGATGTTTGGCTGTTTCTCTGGTTTTTTTTTTGCAGAAATTTTAATAGTCACATCTTATAATAAATACTTTAAATAATCATTTATCAAATCATACATGGTCCCAGTCACAACAGAAGCAGCAATAGGACAGTAATCTACAAGTTGTTTTTGCACTGTTTTTAGGGTTCCGTATTTTCAGTCAAATTAATTTCTTGCTTTAACACAATATTATATCAGTAATAATCTTTTTTTAAAGTATTCTGATAATATACACTTTCGACTGAATTATAACAATAGTAAATTATCAAAAACTATTCACCAGTATCCAAAGCGCGTACTATCGCGACGGGCAGATCCGAAGTAGGCAGCATAGGGCTCACTAAAACCCCCCGGAGGCGTTCGAGAGCCCTTGCCGCGGCCGCCGCCGACACGCCTGAAGATAACTCCGTCTCCACCGCTTCCAATGTTGCTAGGCGTTCGTTTAACTTCTTTATTGATAAGAGCAATTTGTGGCGAGCACCTTTTGTTACACCTAAAAGGATAAAAAAGTTAGATTTTACCATTTAGTAGTTAGTTTTGAATTTTTTAGTAATTGTTAAAACACTTACCTAATTCTTCAAGGTACTTCTCATCTATAGCCATCATTTGTTCATAAGTGATATTTGTAAAAAGCCAAACATATTTGTGTAACCTCAAACTCTTTAGCCACTGTGCAACAGTCGACATGCCAGGATGTTCCGTATAATTATTTGATTTGAGCTCATCTAACCTTGTTTCGCTTCCTGTCGTCCCGTACATTATACTTATTGGCCTTATCTGGCCTAAACTATGCTCACTCGAGAGTGAAAAACTTCGCGGTTTCTGCACGAAAGGCTCGTCACTCAGATTCTCGGCAGAGGAAGACATTTGCATAAAATTTGTTGATGGAGGAGTTAAACTATTCGATCTTTGAGATTTCGGCTGAGATATTGCCGCGTCAAAATTCAGTTTTTCACCTTCTAAACTAAGATCTACATCCCTGCCATTTTTGGAAAAGGATTCCTGTAATATATCTGTATAACATGACTCTAATGTGTCAAGCATTCCTCTAAATTCAACATTTTTGCCTATTGTCCTCCTAAATGAATTGGTTGTGCCCCAAATGTTTGTTTCTGGCAATAGGCAAGGCTCTATTCGCTGTTGCCATACTGATTCTGTATTTCTATTGCCTGAAATGTGATTCTCTAGGTAACGTAGCCATTGTGTTAATGTACTGCAACAAAAAGAATATTAGAATTAGCAATTCTAATTAATGAATCCAGTCCTCATCTAATTCCATTCAAAATAAGATATAAATAAATAAACTAGGTATTGTAGGTATTTTTCTATTACAAAATGCAAGAGTCAACAATAATGACAATACCTTTGGTCATGAGCCGTTAAGGCTGGATGGACTAGTAGGTACGAAAGTAGCTGTCGACAAAGTTCGGGTGCCACAGACGACCGCCGAGGCGCGTCCACGCACCTCTGAACGAGGGCAGGGGTGGCAGTCATATACACATCCTTGCCCCGTTCATTGTCGGTCCGGAGGAGTGGCAAAAGGGTCAAGAGTTGCAGGAGTTGCTCACCTGCGGAAATATAGATTGGTCTTAGCAGAACAGTAAATAGATAAAACCGACATAAAATCTGACACAACTAGGTACAAGAAAATTAAATAGTTTTATTGAAAGATATAGAAAATGCTTATAAATTGTTGTCTTTATGTTAAATGTTATTTCTTTTAATGTATAATAATAATAATTTAATAATAATGATTATGATAATGTTAATCTGTCATTTGAAACATAGCTGATTATTATTTAGAATTAACCAATTGCATTGATAAGAGAGTTCATTGATAACATGGATTGGATCGAGTGAAATCTGTTTATGTAACAAACACTGACAAACAGGTTTTACATAGAAATAAGATGTAATCATTTAAACATAGCATTTTATTGACAAGGGAATAGCATTTTCACCAAAAATTTTTATTAAATAAGTTCAAAATCTACCTACACAAAAAAGATTAGCAAACTGCACATTTAGACTCATATTAACTGTAAGTAAATTATGGAGAAATATGATGGAATAATGTGTAGATTTGAACCTAGGAATAGCTCATCAGATTTGGACTGAAATAAATAGGTTTTTTTGATTTTTTGGTAAATCAAGTCTTACCCTCATCCTCGTTATCATCCGTCCTCGGCGTGAGGAGGCTCGCCAGCAACGTTTCGTCGTTCGCGTCTCGCTCCAGACGCTCGTCCTCGACGTGGTGCTGAAGAGCCGCCTCCACAGCTCGCTGCACCAGCTTCAAACCTGGCCACGGCACTCTTCGAGCTAGGGCACAAGCTAACACAGTCTTCTCACATGCCCCCCATTGCTCGAACATCCCGGCTACGCCCCCCAGCTGCTCGTAAAACGTGCCGCTCATCTCGACAACAGCATATCAGCCCAACAATATCAGATTTGTTTGTGTTCTACACGTCAAAGGTCCCTGACAGCTGATCGTCGAGGCAGGATTCAGCCCAAAGTAGGACGATCCTAAACTCGAGCAGGTACGTGGACGACTGGCACGAATGTTTACCGCTAATTCAAAACTTATTTTACACAACAAAATTACAGGTAGATCAAAAAACATTACTTTCGGTTGCTGTTCATTATTTATCGAAATCCAAAATGGCTGTCCACAGATTATCGAATGATTATTTTTTTAAATCAAGTGATTTTGTCATTCTGTCATCTGATACTTTTAAGGGTAAGTTCTTCTGATTACGTTATATTCAATAAAATAACGTTACTGGATTTTTTAATTATAACAACTGTCCTAATCAATATTTAGAATAAACACATCCATTTCGTAGAATTATTTTTCAATGCAAAAATTCTGACTGACTGAATCTAATTCTAGCTTTTATTTCGATGGATATTCAGTGTGTACAGACAGCGCCATCTCTTTAAACTAATGCGCGGCAAGTTAAGTTGAATTCATGCAAATTTTGCGACTAAAGTCAACTTAAGTTCTAGACACGCGGGTCGCGGTAGCGTTTCAAGTTCATTTAAATATATCTAAAATAATATAAAAACTTTTTTTATGAAAGCAGCAGTTTATTTACAATAATGGCTGAACAATAGAAACAACGGTAGACAGGCGATTTATAGAAAACAAATGAAAATGTTTCATCTTAGTTCCAGTTGCTATCGATTTGATTAAATTTTGAGTTATCTTTTTTCCTGGAATTTCTTCCGATTGGTCCTGGTTCTTGACGTAATCTAAAATATCTTGCGAGGCTTTTATTTTGCACATGTTAATAAATCCTGATAGCTGTTGGTACGTTTCGAATGGGAATACTCCTGGAATAATAGGCACATTAATTCCGGCGGATTTAGACCTCTTGATAAAGTTCTCATATATTTTGGACTCGAAGAAGGCTTGTGTTAGTACGAAGTTAGCGCCGATGTCGACTTTGTGTTTTAGTTGTAGTAATTTTTCGTCACTGCAGTCGGGCAGGCCTGCCACCCCAATGCAAAAGTAATCTCCTGTTTCATTTCTGATTGTTTTGATTAGTTCTTCGCTATTTTGAAAGTCTGACGATTGTGGATTGAACCCTTCTGAAAATTAAAAAGTAGAAAGTTTACTAGACTATCCAGTTACATACCTAAGAACAGGGCAGAGCGCTTATTTCGAAGCTTCTCGTAGTAACGAGCTGATATTTTCACGTAATAAAAAGTTTAGACTCTATTGGGCTTTAGGCGGTGTTGGAAAATGTAGGCAAGTCGGCCAGACTATCATTGGGTACAACTTGCTTAAACTTGCATCATAAATCCTAAGCCTACAATATTACCTACCTACCTCTCATGTGGGTGGCTTCGCTAGATCTGTAAATAAAACATTGTACTTACCACCTAAAACAACAAACAGGTTGCAAACTTTTATTTCCTTAAAAGTATCTAGTAACTGGAGCAAGAACTCCTTCCTGAGCATATCGCACGACAGATGCATCAGGACCTCTTTATTTTTATTTCTTAGATATCTCGCCAATCGCAATGGGGCGATGTCCAGGTTTTCATTCTTATGGGTCTTCGCATGCCAAGTTATGGAGTAGAACAGTGGCTCTATGGATAGACTGTCCAACTCTGATGTTGATACGTCTGGGGTCACTTCGATAGAGAATGTCACCTTCTGTTGGTAGCAGTTTGCTATCAAGTCAGTGACTTTTGCCATTTTCAATGATCTGTAACATGTTTAATTATTTCTTAAACGTTAGGCAAGAATGCTTCAGACATAGTTATTTAGTTGTAAAACATCTAAAAAAATATCGATTTCACCTAAAATAAAATGCAGTTTGTAATACTAAACCATAAATCCGTCTTTATAGCTAAACCCAATCGATAAATAAATTCCTAAGTTAGTTAATTACGTCCATCGCATGACTAACTATCCTATCTCAGTCTTTTGGCGATTTGATAACTCAAGTCCTAACGGACTACAATTTTTTTCCTGCTTCCATTGTCTACGATTTTCTCTAACTCACGTATACACACACTACACGTATCTGTATGTACCTACCTATTTTTCCTCCCACGAGGTCCGTAAAGTATAAACTGAAATTAAATTTGAAATGACCTAACTGAAAACCCGTGGGTTTGAGAAAGTGGCAAAACTGAGATAGGATAGTTAATCATGCGAGGGACGATTAATCTAAGCCGGTGCATTTTATTGAGAGAACAAGGTTTCCCAATTCACTGTTACTCCACTGCGGACAACAGGAATCATCAAGTTAATTATGTATTTTATAAGAAGTTCGGAACAAACTACGAGTACATAAGTTGCCTTTCACTAAACACAAACGTTATTATGTCTGAAAACACCATCTACCACCATGATCTTACCTAGTTGCTCTGAGATTTCGTAGCTTACAAAATGATATTTTAGAATGTACGAGAATTTTGTAAGCATGTTATATTATTCACTAAGTAAACAAATTACCTATCTCCATGCACTTGTGCAAATGCCTTTATGCATTCAGTAAGTACCTATGACTTGTCTTCCTAAAGAGCTATAAAGTGGGATGTTCTCACAAGTAGTATTAAGTAATTAAAGTCACATAAATAAGCTAACTCTACATTGGTATATTATTATTGAAAAAACTCACCGAGTAGAACAACTGAAGCCACAAACACGCCGCAAGAGAGACTGATCGATAATGGTAGATCATTAATGACAGTATTTAACAACTGATAAGAACGTTTATATTTTTGTGTATCTTAATACGAGTATGTGGCCGATACCGCGTACCGACATTATTGTACCTACGTCTGAGTAAAATTGCTTACATTTCCTGAATTCCAATCTATGTAGGTATTTAAATGATTATACTTGTGGAACCTAGAATAGCCAAGACCAAGGTACCCCTAAGTATATCTGAATAATCAGTTAGATATACCTACAGGGTGCCTACTTGCCTAATAACTTTCGTGGATTACATATCCAGATGAACACTGACGTACAGTTGTAAGGCTATTTTTTGGGTTTTTTTTAACCTACTGCATGCAATTATTGTAGCACGTACGAAGGCACTCCTCGTGCGCGCGTTATACGGCAGTCTGAATAGTACCTTAATTGTACGAGGCATTTTACCCAGGATGGTTAGGAAAAGGGTGCGGAATATTATGTGAAATAAAAATCATAATTATTAATGACGTTCTGTATTATGACTGTTCCATACAAAGATATCAATCAGTCATCATACATTATCACAACCAAAATTACAATAACGTAAAAAAACATTCGAACCCACTACTTAAAAGTAGTTAATAAAGCTGCTTAAAAGCCGTGTAATTATTTAATTTGTCTAAATATTATCGTTTATATAAAATTGACTACTTATTTAATCATCTAGAGAAGATTATACTGCGATTACCACAAACATTGCTTGGTTATGACGGACTATATTACAATGACAATATTACTAATATTGTGTAAAAGCATCCAAACACCTAACACTACGTTTGTCTAATACGACGTCTTATTGAGACTACTACTATTCTTACGTATGTAAGTTATTGTTACTGTTTGGTAAAGCTTCGTGTGGATCAACGAACTAGTCACTGATCGATGGCAGATATACCTACATAATCTACGTAAGTATATTGTATTGCGTCACGCAGTCCCTTTAAAAATAGGGAATAACCTGAGAGAGTGACTACCTACACTATAATCAACTGCTATAATCGTCAGTAACGAGGTAGTGCTTGACGAGTGGTGTGTTGAGTATGTAGTTGTTCAAGAGTGAATAAAATAACTACGTGTAGTTAAAGTACTTCTCAGGTACATGACATTAGACGCTGGTAGAAATTATTAACTTCATAAGATAATTTTCAAACAACGTACCAAAGGTAGGTAGGTAAGTGTCTGGATAAGTAATACATTAGTAGTTCGTTTTACCTTAAAACACTACGCCTTTGGAATGTTTTAAGTATTTTATGCCTATCACCCGTACAACGTCATTCAGAGCCGAAATATGGAATGCCAAGATCGTTATCATTTACCCCATCCATGTTATAAAAAACCTTTGAGCCACTTGAAAAAAGACATAAAGTAGCACAGAGAAACACAGACATTAGAAATGGTACAGATTTTCACACCTTAATTACTTGAAGTAGCCTTAAATCTCTACTTAAGTACGAAAATGTACTTTTACATTGTGTGTGCTTACTTATACGACAAAAATTGAGTAGTACCAAACATCACACATTAACAATTTAAAAAATAGTGTGACAATTAACGACAAAAACAAAAGAACCGTGAAGAAAATTACAATAGTCTTAATTGTTATTAATATGAACAGATTAGTTACACAGATTAGTTACTAAATGGACAGTAACAATTTAATTAGGTGCTGAACATTTACATTCTCGTTTACATTTTAATTACTGGCATTATTTAACAGCCGTGACAATTCTAATTCAACAACAAACACTACTTATGAACTAAATATTATGTAGTTTGTTAAAGCCATTTTCTGCTTTACATGTTATACATGCCTTAATACATATTACCACACGACCAAGACGTAACAACTAATGTGTTGTGATATGTCTAATTGTCTAATTAATTCTTACACTAATTTTATAAAACGGTGTTTATATTAACAGCCACGCAAAGGAAGTGTGATAATATTCATTTGCCGGGCTTTGGATGCTATGCGAAAGGTAAACCGACTGAATTACACGAAATAAATTATACCGAACTAATAAAAATATTTATGTAATCATCTTACACAATTATTATTAAGCTTAAGATACGAATTAGCAACAAAATAAATAGTAATCGCATAGTAACAAAACTTATTAGAAAATGCTTTTTGGTCCTCAATAATTTTAACACATTTGAATTAAAATACTTTCATAGGCAGTATAACTTTCACAGGCAGTTTTGTTTAACACTGTGACGTTGTATTTTGTCTTTTTCTTGAAAGGGAAACGCTACAATTTTAATGTATTGTATTTAGCAATATCTTTGGCAGCATTTTAGCCCAGCTACGATTAAGGTACAAAACGTTTTAGTTAATTATTCGGCAAATGTTTTAATTTAGTGCTCCGTCAGATTTCCAATGACGCTTGCGACGGTAACTGTCGGAATTGACACCGCATTCAGTCTTGTCTTCAAAGGTAACTTTATGAGAGGTAGTTTTATTTACAAGGGCTGTCCACAAGGCGAAAGTAACTCGAAATGTATCTTACAAGCGTAGCTTTCGGTGGGAATAATACTTAATATTAGGTTTTAACACCAATTAAAATCAAAACCACTCTGAAAAAGAGCGGTAGCGATTAAGTCCTTAAACGGTTACGCGAAATAATTCAGTTACTTATTCATTAACTTTTTGTACTATATTGAACCTACTCACTTAAAATATGACGTCATAATACTTAATGCTATGTATTATTGCTTAATTGCTTCGTGAAAACTGTAAAAAACAGTCTCATTCACGTAGTGTGACGTAGTCGCTTCGTAGCGCTCTGTCGTAGCACTATCTGTCGTAGCCGTAGCCTCGTAGCACACTCGTAGGTCGTAGTTGAAAGGTCGAGGTATTGTAGCTACGAAAATCTAGACGACCCAGATTTTTTTTATTATGAAAACGTAATATAGGGTGTTATAATGAGAGCGTTAATTAAATAATAGTGTTTTAATAATAAAAATTCCAAACCACTATCTTAGATTTCCATCAGATGAGTCATAAAATTCGCGGGCACGACACCTGAAGTTATTTTACCAAGTAAATTTTACCCGTTACCTTGTCGCTACAACACAAGCTAAATTAGAGTAATTAGCAGATTTATTGGCGTAGGTATTAGAAGCTGCAGAGAATTTAACAAAAAACAAATGAATGAGTTACGGACGCTTAACAATGCGGTTTCATCTCACTTACGTCTAACACAGCCAGTAATAATAGACTTAAATTCATTTCGGTATCTTTGATTGACGAATGGATTACGATAAAGTGAATGAGTCGCAGTTATTTATACTACTAACACGAATCTGAAAACGCAAACATTTCAAGTGACTTTCTCCTTACTTTACTGAGCCACTGAAACACGTTGTAAGGAAATAGCAGTATGTAAACAATATGTAGGTATAGTAATACTAACTTCTTCCGAATTTTTATTCCAAACGTTACAATGTTTGAATAATTGTTGTATTAATATCAAATGAGTATCAAACATTTTGTTTCGTGACTCAGTTTACAAAACATTTGATAATTTATTTTGTAGCTTATCCTAATTTGATATTGTCTCATCGTTTATCACTAATTTAGTATAACTTCTAATTTTATATGACTTATTGATAGTGTATTACTAATATTACGTTTATAATATGACGGTATGTTAAAATGCTTATAAAGAAACTAAATTATTAATCGATAGTGAAATTGATATAATGTATAGATCTACTTAATTTTTATTGGCTTTTTTAACTATTTATTGCAGTTTTGTTGTGTTTTCAAAGTTTGATGTTAATTATGTTTGTATCTGTACGAAAATATTTGAATCACATTGGCAGCAAATTATAATCAACATCTAAACCACTATTACTGATGTTTATATAAATTATTTAATACGAAAGAGTAAATAGTTCTAAAATATGAAAAGACTAAACAGACACACACTTACATTGTTCTGTAAACGTAGGTAGTGAGCTGTAGGGCAACTTCCAATCAATTTTCGTATTTGCTTACCTTGCTTTCTTTTTTACTCACATAGAGATACTGACATGAGTGACAGAGACAAGCTGATCAAACATATTGAAACAGATTAGGGAGCCCTACAGATAATGTGAGATTAAAATGTACAGGGTGTAGCAGAAAACAGTGCAAGCCTTGAGACTGTGTGAAAAATTGTATAATATGGATGTAACTGCCTGTAATTATTATAAAGAGCTATGGACGTTTACATTGTTTTCAATCATAAACTTACTAATATGTAGTCGCCATAATACAAACTATTATAATTTAATTTTGCTTGCACATTGCATCAACATCTAATCACACAGTTTCAAGAACTGCTCTATTTTCTTTATAGTTCTTGCAACTTAAAGGCGAGTGAGATTTACTTGTATGTGTACGTGTAGGTACATGCACATAACGATCTATCAAAACTTTAGAAAAACGAACGGTAGCGAGCCAACACACATGTAAAGCTCACTCGCCTTCGTGAATTGCAACAACTATACACCCTGTATGCTATTTCTTTCGGACACAAAAGGCAATGTTGCCAACAGAAGCGGAACGTTCTAATTTCAAATGGACTCCATCTGTTCGGTCAGCTCGAGGATCGGGCTCTCGCTGAGGGGCAGCATATTGGTGGAGGGAGGCAGGCTGTGCCCCTGCCAGTTTTGCTGCAATAGACAATTTTTTGCCTTTATTATCCATTACCTTACCTGCCGGTGATATACACTTATCGATGATTTTAGACGTCAAACGTATGGGCTTATCTTATCGCGTAAAATCGTGAAAAAAACATCCCATTTCGAAACTTGTCAGTATGAAACCTGCTTTGAAGTGGGGTTTCTTTTTTGCACTTCGTAGCCTGCTACGAAAGGCTACGAAATTGTTCAAAATCTACCTTTATAACTGAATTATTTATTTTTACTGAGGTAGTTTTTGCGACCTCTCGCGACCCCCCTATAGAAGCTCCGCGACCCACAGGTTGAAAAACACTGCTCTATCTCATGCTTGATACC